GAGAGGCCTTCACGCAGGTCATTGTCATTCAGCAATGAGAGATGGCAGAAGCTGCAAGAGGAAGCCTTAGGGGAAGAAATCCCATGCAACTTGGAAGGGCACCAGACAACTCCCTAGAGGAGATGGCTTCTTGCAGAGAGCAGGATTTCTGCAGGTTGTGTTTGCTGGAACCAGTTGGCTTTTCACAAGAGGTCCCCAGTTGCAAATGTGCGGAAGCTGGACAGTGTGGCTGTGTTAATTCATTCAAACAAATGTGCACCGCACATCTACAATATGCTGAGGCATTGCTTCTAAAACTTTAACATACACACATCTCCTCTGGAGAGCTTGTTGAAGTGCACATTCTGACTTGGCAGGTCTGGGATAGGGCCAGAGATTCTGCGTTTCTAACAAACTCCCAGGAGATGTCATGAGGCTGCTGCTCCAGGGACCACACTCAGAGTAGCCAACTGCTTGGCACTGTTCTGAAAGCTGGGAATACAATGGTTAAAAAAAAAAAAAATGCCGGCCCTGGGAGAGCTTTCATTTTAGTAAGAGGAAACAGACAATAAACTTTTTTTTTTTTTTTTTAAATGACCGGTAAGGGTGGCGTGGTGTTGTCGGCACCACGCTCTCCCAAGTGAGCCACGGGATATAACAAACTTTATAAACAAAGTTTATAGTTTATTAGATAGTAATATGTGCTAAGGGAGAAAAATCAGGCAGGGGGAATGAGAGTGTGTGTGTCCGTTGGGTGGAGTGGCTGCAGTTTTAAATCAAGGAAGGTCACAGAGATGATTTCTGAGCAAAATCTGAAGGAAGTACAGGGAGAGCCCTGTGGATATTTGGGGAAGAGCATTTTATGCAGGGGGAACATTGAGTGCACAGGCCCTGAGGACTTGCTAAGATAATTGATGCAAAGTGCTCAGTATGCTCATTCTATGATGCTGCCCTCACCATCTTTATTGGGATGACATTCATACTGTAGTTTAGACCTTGAGCTCTCAAATCAGCCAAATTTTGATTCAAAGTTCTGCCACAAAGCTGTAAAGGAACACAATTACTTAGCCATTCTGTGCTTCAGTTTCCTAATCTTTGACATGAGATTAAAAATAGTGAGAAGATGTGAGAATTAAATGAGTTCATATTTGACAGGTGCTTAGAGCAAAGTCTGGGTCACAGTGAGTGCTCAAGTGTTAACTGCTGTTGTGACCATTATTTTCTTTATAATATATTCATGTTGGTTGTGATTGTTTATTTGGATGTCTACCCCGTTTCCCATGAGCTATTCCTGGTGAGTTCAGTGTCACCTGTGTGTCCCCAGCACCCAGCCCAGGGCCAGCACGCAAGAAGACCTAAATGAATGTCAAAGACAAGTTATTGCAAGTGCTCCATGTAATCTAGGGGTGTAAAAATGTGGATTCTCAGGGCCGGCCCTGTGGCTCACTCGGGAGAGTGCGGTGCTGGGAGCGCTGAGGTCGCGGGTTTGGATCCTATATAGGGATGGCCGGTGCGCTCACTGAGCGTGGTGTATTGGTCAAAAATAAATAAAGAAAGGGCTGGCCCGGTGGCGCACTGCGATAGTGCGCCGCTTGGGAAGCGCAGTGGCGCTCCCGCCGAGGGTTCGGATCCCACATACAGACCGGCCGCTCACTGGCTGAGCGAGGTGCGGGGGCAGCGCCAAGGGTTGCGATCCCGTTGCCGGTCCCGGTCCGGTACGGGCACGACACTGAGGGTTGCGATCCGTTGCTGGCCACGGAAAAAAAAAAAATAAAGAAATAAAATGTGGATTCTCTAATTGTGGAGGTCATTCAATCAAGGGTGTAGATTGTGTTCTTCAGGTTCTTACTAATTTTATTTTCTCGGGCGATGATCTCTTCTAAGAGATATGTTAAAGTTTTCCAGTACAGTTGTGGATTTGCCAAACTCTTTTGTCATTCTAAAAGGTTTATGGCTGTCATGTGCAGGGATGTTTTTTTTTTTTTTTTTTTTTTAAAGATGACCGGTAAGGGGATCTCAACCCTTGGCTTGGTGTTGTCAGCACCATGCTCAGCCAGTGAGCAAACCGGCCATCCCTATATGGGATCCGAACCCTCGGCGGGAGCACCACTGCGCTTCCCAAGCGGCGCACCATCGCAGTGCGCCACCGGGCCAGCCCAAT